TCTATCGCTGCCTTGGATGCGGTGTAGAGAGTTAGGTTTGCGAAACCTAGGCGGGCGCCTATGGACGACATGTTTATGATGCGGCCGGGTGCTCGTAGATGTGGAACAACTGCTTTGGTTAGCAGAAGAGGCGCGCGAACGTTGACGTCGAATATGGCGGCGTAGTCTTCTGCTGTTGTCTCCGTGATGGATCTGTTCATCAAAACACCAGCGTTGTTGACCAAGATGTCGATCTTGTCACCGAACGCCTCCCTGGTCGCTGACACAATCTTTTCAGGCGCATCGAGTTGTCTAAGGTCCGCCTGAACAATTCTCGATGCGCTACCATTGCCTAGTGATTCGATCTTCGATGCAACCTCTTCCGCTAGCTTTCCGCTCTTTGGCGATGTGTAGACGAGAGTGACCTACTTCACATATGAGTGACTTGTTTGACTTGGTTCGAAGCCGTTGGACTGACGTTTGCTCCCCTTCGCGCCAGCTCTAACGCCAAGCCAGCCCCAATCCCTCGCGAAGCGCCTGTGACGATGGCAACCTTACCCTGTAGAGGAAACGTTGTTGGGTTCGATGGAGCAGACATGATAACAATTTTTCAGGATGTGTTTTGTAGATGAAGCTAGAGAGGAAACTTTCAATCGTATCTTATAGCACTCCAGTACGCCCACATATCCAGTGACATAAGAGATGATGAGTGGATAAATGTGATGTGGCGAACTGCACTTGAAATTGCTACGTTATCGTGAACAGAGTGGATAAGGTCATACGTCATCGATTCGTTACTACCGATGAATCTCACGAGTGCCGATAAGCTTCGGAGGAGATTGTGCAGCCTGTAGCAAGCATTTTAGAAGACTTTGTGGAGCAGATGTTACACAATTATCGCGAAAGCACAATGATCTTTGGCGTACGATGAGAGAGGTCATGTGAATGGTATGAATTATGTATTGAATATGAAAGTACAGCAAGTCGTTGGCTCCGAGACGAGAACGTCGTGTACTCGTAGGTAATCTGTCTCCAGCCTATGCAACGAGGGGAGTAGTCCGATCCGCGCTCCAATGCTTCAACAAGAGTCGGGTCCAGGTGTCCGGTCGAAGAGAGGTTGGTGTAGGCCGAGGGTGTTGATTTAGGCTCGACGGAGATTAGAATTGTCGATACAGTATGGGCGCAGTCATTATCCCAGCAGCTGTAGAGTTGTACATGGCCATTTCCCGCCCGTTTTACGTCGAGCCCAGCATCCTTCTTCCGCTCTCTTTCCAAGATCACCGCTTGATGAAGCCAAGCAACGGGCCCTTCTTTGCATTTGGATCCTTCTTTTTCGGGTACATCTTAGATGTGACGAAGTGGACGTACCATATCAGGGTACCGAAGACTGATAGGCCGAAGATGACGAGGAAGAGGGTGATGACTGGCCGGCCGTCGTTTTGTACCGAGCGCAGGGCCGCAGGAGTGAGGATTGGTGCAAGCCATTCGAAAGCCATGGTGTATTTGTTGGTCGCGTTCGTTGAACTTAGGGAGGTCCCTGCGATAGTATTCGTTCTGCCGGGGGGAGGACGAGCTTGCGATGACGATCAGGGTTCAGACAGCCGGCTGCCACTAAAACGAATGTATAAAGATATCGCCAGCGATGTTGAAGAATCGAAGTAAGGAAAGGAATCGCGATGTTCAATGGCAGCTACAGAAATGCGCAAAATGCGGCACTTAGCGTTCATGTATCTCCACCGCAGAGCCGCTCAAGCGGCAGCGCGACGGCCAAACCAGACTCGTTTCGCGCATGACCTGACCTCTTAGTATGCTTGGCAGATCGCATGATGTTTACAGAAAAGGCCATACACACGGCGTGTAGAGCCATGTTGGACGTAAGGCGACTGTATGATATGGTGATTGTTTCAAATGCAAGGCGGGCCAAGAGACCATGGTGAGACGCTTTCGTTGCAGAGGTTCCGGCGCCCGGCCCAGGAGCTCGCTCGGGCATGGAGCCCTGCAGGGCGTTTTGATGTAAGTTGCAGCTGGTGCCGGGTTGGGTGCGCATCCTCGGATACTCCTGCGTTCTCGGTCCTCGCTCTACTGGCTGTACACCGCATTCCCCCGAATGTCCCGAAGCATAGGTACCCAGGTATCCACCCACGACAGAAGTGGCGGCGAGTCAAGCAGGGTGGCCACAATGGCCGACCACGTCGCAACTGCCGGACAATTCAGTAAGCTGACTGCTGCGTGCTACCAACACCGCGCCATGATATCTTGTTGTTGTACTGCGTGCAGTGCGGCGACGGCTCGTTGGTGGTGAGGACCAACTCGTCTGATTGCTGGTGGTCTCACGTAATCATGCCGCCCGCTCGGCTGTGATTGGACGCAGGAAAAACGCTCTTTTCACCGACAGTTCGCACAAATAGGCCGCATGGTTCCCAGCCATCCCTCGAGCTTACTGCATATCCACCCTTTTTTCCCTTGACCAAAATACTCCATTAACGTTGTCGTGTAAGTGCATTCGCAGCTGCTGACCGTAGGTACCTGGAGAAGCGACATCTCATTCTCACTTTCCACGCCCTGAACCAATCTCGTTGCGCCAAAGGTCACACAGACGTACACAAGCTCATTCCGCAGCGTTCGCATATTCTCTCGTCACAATGGCTCCCCTCCTTAAACCCGAAGACTCCAACTCGCCCACCGAACGACCTGTCTCCCGAGACTCCGCCGAGCGGGGCAAGAAGCGCGCAAGTATGTCCGGTTGCTGCTTCCTCGATATTAACCACGGACAACGCTGACGCTACGCTACTGCGCACAGGAACACAGTCAATGCCTCCGCCAGAGCTGCCCAAGCTAGTCGCCGAGCAGCATGCCCCCATTCCCACCAACGACAAAGACACACAGCGCCTGATTGTCGTCCTGTGCAATGCGACGCTGGAGACGTACAAGGCGTCGCATGGCACTGGCCGCGGCCCCGGTGCGCGCGAGGACAAGTACAACCTGCTCAACAGTGACGACCACATTGGCGTAATGCGCAAGATGGGGCGCGACATAAGCGAAGCCAGGCCCGACATCACCCACCAAGTGCGTACAAGAGGAGGTTAGCCAGGTCCCTCAGCTAACGTGGCGCCACAGTGTCTGCTCACATTACTCGACTCGCCAATCAACAAGGCGGGCAAGCTCCAAATCTACATCCACACCTCCAAGAACGTGCTCATCAGGGTCAGCCCTACAGTGCGCATTCCCCGTACCTTCAAGCGCTTCGCCGGACTCATGGTCCAACTCCTGCACCGACACCAGATCCGGTCGACGTCGTCGCAAGAAAAGCTCATCGAGGTCATCAAGAACCCCATTACCGATCACCTCCCTCCCAACTGCCGCAAGGTCACGCTCAGCTTCGACTCCGAGGTCGTACGTGTCAGCGATTACATTGGCGATCTCAACAAGGGCGAGAGTATCGCAGTCTTCGTAGGTGCTATGGCCAAGGGCAACGACGACTTTGCCGATCACATCAAGGACGACAGCATCGCTATTAGCCAGTTTAACCTCAGTGCCAGCGTTGCATGCAGTAAGTTCTGCCATGCTGCCGAAGACGTTTGGAACATCTTCTAGTTCAGCCGACGATCAAGCGCTGGACCTATCTATATTGGACACGCCAACTAGCCCACAAGCAACAACTGACTCACCGCGGACGAGTCGGATCACGGACCGCACAAACGGAAGATAACGGGAACTTTTAGGCTGCAGGACACGCTCATGGCTTAGATCGCAACATCAACAGCCTGAGCGTTACTGCATCTGATTTTGGGCGTCTGCTTGAGGTTTTTTTACAACAAAACAACTACTCTGGCTCAACGCACAACAATCAATCTTCTTTTGAAGATCGCGGGGCAGCTCAACCTACCCCGCACCTGTTTTTCTTTCACCTTGTTCCATCGGCACAGCCGCTAGTCTGTATGCGCGCTGTGTTTGGTGTCGTACCACTGGGTCTTGTCATGGCCTGTCATTCGACCTTGAAATGTGGTTGTCAGTAGTTAGCTTGTAGGATATCGCGGCTCTCCATCCACTCTAGGATTCACAAGTAGGAGGATCTTCAGTGTCAGGAATGACATGTCCGGCGAATGAAAAAGTATACTTCACGTCATCTTCGCAGTACGATCCCTTGAACCCCTCTTTCAGGCATACACCTTGTAATTCGCTCGCTCTATGCCCTACAGGGTTAGAATATATCCTGGGGGCTCATCGCATTTTGCGCGTGTGGCGGGAGGGAAACGGGTAGAGAATCTATCCATGGAGCCGCATCGCCGATCTCCCATGATGATCTCGCGTAAACATAGAAAAAGCAACAGCATGGCAAGTCCTACCGACATTTGGGACAACTCCAAGAATCTCCGGCGATGCCTGCAATCGTAGCCTCACTACAGCGTCATCTTGGTCCTTGGTTCTTGTGAGAACGATGCCCCATCATCGACGTCACACCATGTCCAATCGAGCGTTGCGACGACAAGTGGCGCGTCCAGACCGCAAATACTCTGTTGCACGCGACAAGCGACCGAAATGCTACGATTCCGTATCCAATGTAGCGTAGTGGGCAATGTGAGGCGTGCGACGACTTAAACCTCTCGCGGCCCCGGGCCGGCGCTCAGGACCAATGTCATACACCGACACCTCGCTTACATTAACAAATTTGTTAGCTGCAGACGCAGGACATGTGGCAGCATCACAACATGTTGACAGCGACCTCCTTGATAGCTAACTGCAGCGGTGGGGCGTGCTAGTAGGGTCTGTCCCGCAACGGTATGGAACGCCCTGCTACTCGGTTCACGATGCATCGAGACGCTGCACCTGGACGGGGTTATGATATAAACCTCGAGGTCGTACCGATACTTCCCCCCCTACTCACACCATACATCTCCAACCGCTCCAACTCGATCACACCTCACTGTGTGCATATATCCGCCTCGTTCCCTTCTCGATTCTTCCTTTGGCGATTGTTCTAGCCGCGTCCTGTCGTTCTTGTTCTTCACCGCTGTTCAGCAATGCCCGTCTCCCACATCGGCCTCACGGTATCGCATCTTCCAACTTCGACATCGTTCTTTCTTTCAGCGCTCCAGCCACTGGGCTACCGCTACATCGGCCAATATGGCAACCAAATCGGCCTTGGAATAAATGATTCCGATTTCTTTCTCTGCCAAGAAACGCCTGGGTCAGTACCACAAGGGATCACCAGGCACACCGCAACTGACAGCTGAGTAGCGTAAAAGCCGGCGCTGCACACATTGCATTCACCGCACCTAGCACGACCGCAGTCCGGAATTTCTATACCGCTGCATTGACCGCCGGTGGTCGTCCTAACGGGGCCCCGGGTGCTCGTTGCGCAGAGGATGGCCACTTCAACGCCGCAGTAATCGACTTTGACGGCAACAGCATCGAGGTTGTCTATCGAAATGGACCTGATATGAGACATGACGGAACCATCATCACGCACAGCAGAGTCATTACATGGCAGAGGACCGTTTCGCAGAGCTTCCGTGAGAGCCCGAGTATCTTCAGCGCTCACACGTGTGCTTCGAGAACTGGCGCAATTCCAGTCGCACCGACAGCCGAATCAGCTGCTCCGAAGGCACCAAGCCCTGTACCCAGAAGCGCCTCTGCGCCCACAGTCGCTCCTGTTCCCGAAGCGACGACAAAATCAGATGCCGGCAGTGGGGCGGCCACGCACATTCTCGGAACATTACTTGGAGCTGCTGCAGGTGCAGCCGTCACATATGCATTCATGCGGAGCGAGCGAGATAGTGCGAAGAAAGAGGCGGACTTCAGCGCCTTCATGGACGCCAAAAACGCGGTCAACACTGCGGCTGGCTTCTTCGCTCAGGCCTCATCCCAACCCCCGACACCCCAGCAAGCCCCACAACCCGCGCAGCCACCTGTCCAGGCCATTGCACCGCCTACACCTGAGCCAGTACACCGCATTGAAGACGACGCGCGATCTTCCTATTCGCGAGCTTCTCAGATCCCTAGGAATTCTGTGCCGCGACAGATCGAGGCTGCGCCGGCCGACTACTACTCACCGTCTCAATTCGAGCGTCCTCGCTCAAGGGCTGCGGAGCCTCTCGCCATCGAATATGCCCCTGCATACTCTGTTGCCCCGTCGCAGACTCCATCGAGGCTCACACCTGCTCACCGCTCAAATACTAGCCCTGAGTTGTTGATGATCGAGAGGGCTAGGAGCACCGTCTCGACAGCCAAGCCCGAAAGTGTCGTAATGACTGCAAAGCCATCGCGACCATCGTCCAAGCCTCAAAGTGTCGTCTCAAAGGCGCAAAGTGTAGCTCACAGTGCTGCGCCTAGCTCCTTCATCTCATCGTTCGTAGCAGACCGCGAAGATGAGAAGAGTAGTTCGGGTAGGTCCAAGGCCAGGTCCTCTCATACCTCATCTTCAAAACATTCCTCGCACAAGGAACACGGTAGCAGTGGTAGCAGCCGAAAGGAGCGTGGCTCATCGCCTTCTCCACCAGCCCCTGCATCCAAGGCTCCGTCTGCAGCCCCCACTAAGGCTGCATCCAAGGCGGCGTCGATCGTCAGTAGCATCTTTAGCCGCGACAAAAAGAAGCACGACGATGATGACGACTTCATCGATGACCTCGACATTGAAGAGCTGAGTGAGGATGATCTTGACACTGTTGTTCCCAGCGACAGCATCTCCCAGATCGGCGACGCACCACGACGCAAACACCGTTCCCACCGGAGCGACAAGTCTAAGAAGGATGATGACGCTGAAACCTCCGTGAGTCACCGCAGGAAGAAGCACAGCGACGAGAAAGAGTCTTCCCGTAGCAAGAAGCATGAGGATGAGAAAGAGTCTTCCCGCAGTAAGAAGCACGATGATGACAACGAGTCTATCATGAGCAAGTCATCAAAACGCTCTCACCGTTCGCACCGTTCGCGCAAGACATCTGCCGACTCCGCTGACGACGAGGACTCCTCGCGCCCTCACCGTTCCTCGCGCTCTTCTAAGTCCAAGCCTTCCATCATCTCGGAGCCAAGTGAGGTATCTACTGTCCGCCCCGTTAAGCCCTCCAAGTCATCAAGAAAGGATAGCCTGACCCAAGGCCAGTACGACAATCTCTTCGACGAAGTCCAGTATGGTACTGGCGCTGTACACGCCTCCAGAGGCGGCCCCACACCCAGCATGGTCAGTGCCGCACGCAAGAACCCCATTCGCAGCATGATCAACCACAACCATGCCACCAAGATGAGGAACTTTGAGGGTAGCCAGGCTGGGCGCGCAAGGGACAGTGATGACTAGTTTGTCTTTTTTATTCCTCTCTCTGGGGTACTGTATCCCTGCATCGCATCGCGTTGCTCCATTGCTTTTGCTCCTTATGCTTTTGCATCCGCGTAATGTTCTCTCACGTCATTGCGTCATTGTTATTCTTGTCTATCGTTTGCTCCTTTTTAGCGGTCTGGCATTTTTACGGCGCGGCATTGGTATGGCGTCACGTTTTGCTTTGTACGACTATCATAGATTAGAATTAAACGAAACGCAATGAATACAAACGGTATATGGGTGGATTGGGAAAGAAATCTTCGTCAGACCAGATGCTTGTGATAGTGTGTGATGTTTCCTTGATGCACTTTACATCGACTTCCTGCACATCCTTGACATGATGTTTTCCTCCCATATATGAGCGAATACATAAAGTTCGATTGACACCACAGCAGTCCGCACTATTTCCGACGTTGGGATGCTCCGACCCGATCCGCTCTGCACTCTTATACGCTCTATCATGCCCTAAACATCTACACCTCGTCTTCAGTTTCCGACTGCTGCCCGTTGCAAAGATGCGTATCACATCCCTCGTCCTCCTCATCATCACTCGGCTGCCAGCCTGGGCAAAGATGCGTATCGCATCCCTCTTCCTTGCGTATGTCGTGAAACTCTGCATTAATGCAGGTCCCGCCCCTCTCGCTCGGGTCACAAGCAGCATCTGGATGAACTATGAGGCTGTGGTGCCCACATGCGTAAGTGGTGATAAAGAACTTGCACATGTTTCTGGCGGACGGTATGTATGTACGTATGTGTCGATTGGTTCGAGGGTGGTAAGTGGTGGGGTTGGTCGACGTACTTATGGGCTTGGATAGGTATGAGGAGATTTCTAGGAGAGTAGAGTTGGAGTCCTAGATATACAGTACTTGTCCTTTTCAATGTGTGGACTTGTGATCATGATATATGTGACAGAATGTTCATACTTCATGCACGACTATGGTCTTGCATTGGATTGACATTGATCATTGTAAGATTCTGGACGTGGCAACACCACACTTCAAACACTCACAGGTCCCCCTTCTCTAACCTTACTCTTGACTCTCCGCCAGCTCACTTCGCGCGGGAAAAGCGCCTCAGGTGGTGCCTGCCCCGGATCACACTCCCAACACTCACCACCTCTTTCCCGATAGACTTGTGTGAAGAAGGTGCACTCTGGATGGCGTGTACAGTTGCGTTTAACCCAGAACTCGTGTTGGCATGTACTGTGCTTGAGGATGACTTTTGTACACATTGTGTTCCGGTGGCGGGTGGATGCGCAGGTTCGGGCGGGAGTAGGGGAGAGGTAGATGAAGCCGGCGTTAATATGCTCTGATATGTGATGGTTGATAGGCTCGTATAATGTTGTAGTGGTTCTGAACTGGCATTTTGTAGAATGGAAGAGTTGTGTGGCAGCGTCGAGCTGGCCAAAAGTGCTGGCGCACTTGGATGTATGTCAGGTCAGACGGTGAGCTGTCTAGATGAGACCATGTGCCCTTTCGTTCGACGGTGTTGATGCGCTCGGTAGGACTGATGGGTGATCTTTATGTCTGACTCGTCTGATGGTACTGTGAATGCTTGACCGTCAGTGGCGTTTGATGAGTAGATCACCGATCGGCCGGCATGGCCTTTCAAAATCAACGAGCGAAGATCACTTACATCCCTCGTTTCTGTTGGCCAGACAACTCTAATAAGTTACCGGTATTGCCCAAACAGGAAGTCCACGATAGACACCACACCAACAACAATGCAGGGGAGATCAGGGTCCAACAACGACCCCGAACACATCGTTCCTTCACGCACTTATACACCTCAAACTCTGCAATCACCCCGCCTTACTAAGCTCGTGCAGCTGAGGAATGTTGTAGTAACCCGCAATCAAGATTTACCCTAGGAGCCCAGCATGCGATCGCCGATTCACCTCCTTCGGGCGTTGCGTCCCACCCAGGTCACCGTTCAAACCGGACCGAAGGTGGTTACAGGAAGAACTAGGCTTGATGTGTGCTGGGAGGTAGTTGAAAAAAGTCTGGCGTGTCGTGTTGGCGGTGGGCTGACTGGTCTAATGTTCCTGGGGGTAGGTGTTGATGAAATGTCATCGCCGATTGCCAGCCTTGCCCTCGGCCATTTCGGAAGCTCGTGCCATGGCGATATAGGATGTTTGTAGAAACATGATCCTTTCTTGAGTTGATCGCCTTTATCATTGTTCCGAGTGCCGACCGATCGAGAGACCGTATAGAAACCGATATATAACCCTTCCGGGCGATATATTCTGCACCGTAAGTGGTGAATACCAAATAAAATATTTGAGCGCATCAGTTCGGAGACCAAAACAGTATACTTATGCGTTATTGAGCATATCCTGATTCGAGACAACACTCTCGGTGTGAGCGTTGGCCTTTTATGCGATGCTTTGACCCAATCCCGGTTGCGCAGGACCCGCTTCCCGGGACACCTCCTCATTTGCAAAACCTCAAAAAGAGAGTATAAAGACTCTCGAAGAAATGGAAAAAGAGCGGGAAGGAGACATTACTAAAAAGCAACGTCCATGGCGATGGAAGATCGTGCGCGCCACATCCGTTTGCGAAGAAATCGGGTATCTTATTCACAAAACATACTACAGTAGCGGATCAAAATGGTGTGAAGTTCAGCTTAACAACAAAGAGTCAGATGGCGCCACCCGCAACGCCCGCGAAATGTAAACCGGTCGAGTTGGTTCTTGATGCTCTGTTCGGTTGGTGAGCCTGACAGCTTCAACAGACCCGTGAGACGGATGTCCGACAGCCTGGGTTCAGTAGAAAGCATCTGGGTTGTTGTCATGGCTTCGGTTCCCATAGCCGTTGTCGACATCATCCAAACTTCGATACTGCCCACCTCCACCCCGGCCACGTCCCCGACCGCCGCCGCCGCCGCCGCCGCCGCCGCCACCACCACCACCTCCACCACGATCTCCCCGGTAGCCGCCGCGAGCACCTCCTCTTGATCCATAGTTGTTGTTTCTGTTGTTACCACGACCGCGATCTCGGTTGCCACCACGGTAACCGCCTTGCCGGTCGTCTCTGTCCCTGCCTCCTCGGCCGTGGTTTGGCCGGTAATTGTCGTTGCGACCATTCTGGTCCTCCTTGCGGTGAGCTTTGTTGGGAAAGTAACTCTCATACTCGCTCTCGTTCGCTGTCTCTTCCTCGATACGCAACATCTGCTTCTCGCCTACAACGCTATCAAACTCGAATGCCTGGTCCTGAGGTACGGGATGCCAGTTCACGATACGCGCAGCATCTGCTGGCCGGCCATTCTTGCGAATAGCCAGAACTACCGTCGGTACAGGGTTCTCACTGTAGAACTTTGTTCCCTTAGGTACGGCTTCCACCCTCGCAGCCCAGAGCTTGTTCTCAAAGCAGGAGATGGCTGTCACCTTCCACCTGACCCTGGCACCTATACCGCCAACCTTGTCCAGTATGCTCTTCGGGCACGGTTTCGGTGTGATGAGTATGCTGTTCGCAAGATATCGAATGTCGTCTCTCGGAGCGCCCTGAGGTAAGGAGACGAGGGAGGTCAACTTCTCGGTCACGTCGGAGGGAATCATGTAGCCGGTGTAGAAGACGGTCTTCTTGATCTGATAAGGCGGCGTGCCAGGCGGGGCGCTGCCCGACTTGACTTGTATGTTGTGCGCGTTGATCAGCTTCTGTATTTCGGCGATTTCGGCCACGGGATCGAGTTGTGTGGCATTCTCTGGGACCTGTATGACTTCAGTAGTGATGGGTCGGCGTGACGCCTGGTTTTGCGCCCTGAGCAGGTCCTCGTTGAACTGGAAGAAGAAGTCGCGGAAGGCCTTGGTATGCTTCACGCGGTCCTCGTAGATGTTCAGCTTCTCCGCGTCCTTGTATGTGTAGACGATGTCCTTGAGCAGCTCTTGCTTGAAGTCCATGGTATTCCTGAACTTCTGGCCTGCAGGTCCTATCGCGGGCTTCAGACAGACCATGTCGAAGTCTAATCGCTTGCTGCGAACCATGCGCTTGACGAGGTCGCCAAAGTCGGATTCTCCTCTGCCAGTCAGAAGCACACTAAGCGCATCCTTCTGGGCCATGGAAGATTCGACGAGCTCGACGATTTGTTCGTTCCACCAGCCTTGCCATGCGCGTGGTTCCTCCTTCTCAATACCTTCGCCGGTCGCTGCCAGAATGCCCGAGTCGTGCCACCAGCCTCCGTTGAGGAATATGTCGGGCGAGCCCAGCTGACCGATCGTCGCGCTGTTCCATAGCTGCTTGTTGGGTAGAGGGCTTGCGAATACTACGAAAGTCAGCCTCGGATGTAGAGGAAGTCGCGATGGACTTACAGGTGTTGTCGAAGTCATAGATGTGAATTGCCTTGACCTCGGATACGGCAGGCAGCTCTTTGTCGTCGCATGACCACCTTTTGAGCGCAGTGACAGTGTGGTATGTCGCCTTTCCGTTTGGCCCTGCGACGGCCGGCCTGGTTGAGGTTGCTAGCATGTCTGGTACGGAGCGTCGAACAGAGTGCGATGTGATGCGTCGGGTAGCGGCGAGGAGCATCCAGCGCGAAAACTACGCAGCAGTGGGCGCTAGGAGGTCCGCGATGAACTGCACACCTTTGGACACGTGCAGCGAGTGGAAGGGTGAATGTTGAGCGAACACGCTGCGTTTGCGTCGAGTCGCGACACTTTTGGTTGGCCCAAGCTCACTTCGGACGCCATGAGCTCATCATCCAAGCCACTTGATATTCCTCAAACCCCACAACACCAGAAAGCGCATGCCAGGAAGCACGGCCGGCTCGAACCAAGGCGACTCACACGATACGTGCGTAATATGTCTCTCTTCGGTCACAGAGAGGGCCATCACGTCCCCATGCAACCACTACACATTTGACTTCGTGTGTCTGGTGTCCTGGTTGCAGCAGCGGTCGACTTGCCCGCTATGTAAGTAGTCCCCTTTGATACCATAGAGCGTCTCTGATGATAAATGCAGGTAAAGCACGAGTCATCGCCGTGCAGTACGACTGGCGCTCTCCGACCGACTACAAAAGCTATGCTGTTCCTCGCAGCCAACCACCCGCCGACTCAAACGCACACCATAGCCGAACTGACCGGCCGGGCTCCCTCTTCGCGCCCTACGGGCTTCCTAGTAGACCCCGTGGTCCGCGTCGTCCATATTCACCACCCATCGAGGATGTTGCGCTGCGCAGACGCAGAGAGGTGTACCGAAGGCAGCTATATTCGCTACACATCGGCAGCAATCGCTACTCGGGATATCGCGACATATCTCCCCAAGTGATCGCAAGCTCTCCTGAGATGCAGTCAAAAGCACGTACTTGGATTCGTCGCGAACTCCGCGTCTTCACCTTCTTACACGCTGATCCGGCGGGCTCGTCCTCTGTTGCGGCAACGACGAGCAGCAATGCTGAGTTTCTGTTATCGTACATCGTTTCCATCTTGAAAATGGTCGACATAAAGGCCAGTAATGGGCACGCGGAGAACCTGTTGGCGGAACACTTAGGCCGAGAGAACAGCAAACTGTTTCTCCATGAGTTGAATGATTGGCTTAGAAGCCCGTACACGAAAGTTGAAGCATGGGACCGGGAAGTCCAGTATCAGGACGATGCGGAGGCAGCCTAGGGCCTCAGATCTATATTCTATCTGGTGGCGCAGCATAGTCATACACAAGACGCAATACCTGGAAACATGGCTCGACCGCCATTGCCATCTAAATGGCCACAAGGATGTCTGCTCGAGGTATATGTGACTAATTCAGGGTGTTCGCGACGGAGTTCGCATTACAACATTCGAGACATTGTATGCTCAGGCTAGGCTGAGTCAGGCTTAGCATATCAGCACCTTGATGTTTCGTGTTAGTTTCGCGTACCGCACGCCTGGCCCGTCCGCCTCAACCACCATCGCCGCATACTCTGCATAACGAAGTCGTGCATCTTCCATGCGAGAATAATGGCCATAGACGTTAACATAGCGCTCTGTCGTTGAGAGTGCAAGTTCACTGTGGTTCCAGAACTTCGCTCTGGTATGCTGGTGCTGTAATTTTGTCAGGCATGGCAAAAGGCAGCGTTTCGACTTCCCCGACCATACTGCTTGGTAAGACCGAGACGTTTCGATAACGCGGCAGCGCTGCTACGCCCTAGGCCAAATTTCCTTAGCATTGCCGTACGATATCAAATGCACCATGTGCCTCATATATGGGCATCTGGACATGGCTGCGATACGCGAGCTCCATCCTCCTTTCGTTGGTCTCGCCGTGGAGGCCTCGTTCTTCCCGTTTTCGTTTCTTGTTCCCAGCTTGAATTTACTACTAGCGCTGGATCGCTCTTTATAATACCTAATTTTATCAACGGCTAAGCTTCGGAGTTTCCTGTGAAGCGTAGAACCAGGCGCCTACAATTCACCATTCACACTCGACTGTCTTTCTCGTATCAGGATGCGCTCGTCTATTGCGCTCCTAGGCGCTCTTTGCGGCCTGTCTACCGCGAATCCACACCCGTGGATGTATGGAGTTCCGGAGTACCCAGATCTCGATATGAACGAGGTCATGACACAGGCAGATGTGGACTTGATGATGGCGGCAGCTGAAAACGGTACCGCCTCTGCAAGTTCTACAGAAGCCTCAAGCTCTTCGAGCCCGGCATCAGCTTCTTCTGGACAGGAACCTTGCGCAGTTGTTAGCATGGCCATCGCGGCATTACCCTCAGGAGCCCGACCTATCGTTCCTGCCGAACTAGGAGTACAATGTCTGCAGTCCGTACCTCTCGATACGGAGGGCAATGTCAGACTGATCGACGACCTCAAGCTCATGGTCAAATGGCAATCGAATATCGCATACCTCAAAAACCCACCAAAAGGCTACACCGAAGAGCCCCTCGACATCATGGGCGAGCTGGACACTATGCAAAAGCAGGTAGCGGACGGTACCTTCAAAAACGAGTACGAATTCCAGTTGAAGATGCTCAACACGTTCACGAAGGCGTACGACAACCACTTCGCCTATCAACCTGACATCCTTGCTTCAGCGATGCAGTTTCAGAGACCTCCTGGGTCAGAACTGGTTTCTGTCTCTTCAGACGGTACAGCGCTCCCAGAGATATTCACTTACAGGGATGTCATCAAAGCCAACACCGATTCTTCCTTCAAACCATCGTCTATCAAGGTGATCAACGGCATGGGCGCTCAGGACTATCTCGCAAATGTATCTGCTAGTTCCGATTTTCACGACGCTGACACGCGATGGAACGCCCTCTTTCCTTCGCAGGCTCTGCTCGCATCCGGCACTACCTTTCTTGGAAGCTTCAGAAGTGGCCAGTATCAAGGCCCCAACACAACCCTTGAGTTTGCAAATGGCACTACCTGGTCCCAGATGAATGTCGCTGTTGTAGTTGGGAACTTTACTGGTGTTGATAGCGGCAAAGCTTTCTTCCAGAAGTTTTGCACTGGGCCGAAGCGGGCTGCTCCTGCTCCTGCTCCTTCTCCGACAAGCAATTCCACAAGAACTGCACCTCCCGTGGCCACACCGACTCCCTCACATATTGGATACCCTAAAGCTGAGCTGATCAACCGCAATCTCGCTGTTGGAGGATATTATCTCAATGGCTCAGGATACGAGGTAGGCCACACACACATTTTTACTTTTATTCATCTAACCAATATAGAATGTCGCCATTCTCAGTATCCCCTCTTACGAATCTCCTGATGCTCAAAGCTTTCAGAACACGATGCGAGATTTCATAAGGATGTCGCAGAAAGCGGGTAAAACGAAGATGATCTTCGATTTACGAGGCAACGGTGGAGGCAATGCGATTCTGGGTTACGATACTTTCAAGCAAGTATACCCACAGGCGGTCGCGGAGCCATTCGGAGGCACGCGCTTCCGCGCGAATGATGCTTTGAACTCTGCTGGAAAGATAACCCAAGACTTCCTCGCCAACAAAACCTTTGTCCAATCGAACCAAACCGCCTTCATGGAGGTGTTTGGTCGGGCCACCACACAAGCCGATATCTTTGCCCTCACAAGCGGATTCAACTATCAGCATATCCTCGATGTCAACAACAAGGCCATGAGTGGGTGGGACCAACTCTTTGGTCCCGAGCAGATCAATAACGATTCTTTCACCACGACGCTGCGGTACAACTTTTCGGACAGCGTCAGCACAACATACCAGGGCTTTTCAGTAATTGGCTACAACGACAATGCCAACGAAACCAGCACACCGCAGCCCTTCCAAGCCCAAGACATGGTCATGCTACACGACGGCATGTGCTCCTCAACCTGCGCGATCATCTCCGAACTACTCAAGAACCAAGGCGCAGTACGCACGATCGCCGTTGGCGGACGGCCCCAGCCCGGCCCGATGCAAGGAGTTGGTGGTACCAAAGGCGCCCAAGTTTTCGCCTGGGACGACATCCAAGTCCGTATGCAGTCCGTCTATTTTCTGGGCTCACCCGAGCAACGAAAAGCCTGGGACGAAACGGATCTTGGCAAAACTGCTTTCGCAACCCAACTCTTCAAGCGATCTGCATACAATGGCGGACAGATCGCCGGCGGCGTCAATCTCAAAGACAACCTGAGACAGAACGATGCGAGCGGTACGCCGTTAGAGTTCATGTATGAAGCCGCAGATTGCAGGATGTGGTTTACGGGCAAGATGATCTCCGATGTAACGGAGGTGTGGAAGGGTGTTGCTGACCGCATGTTTCGTGGCAACGGCACGATGGGGTGTGTGCAGGGCTCTTCAGGAGATCCATCGAGTATCAGTGGAGGAGGGCAATTGAGGGGTGGCGATGGCCAGTTAACGGAGAAGAGTGCAAGCACGATCGCTGTTGCAGGGCAAGGCATGAACGGCAATGGCAGTGCGCCGCAGCCGTTCACAGGCAATGCGCTCAAGACTACGATGGGAAGTCTGGGTTGGGCCGTTATGGCTGGTGTCATAGGCCTGGCTTCGTTCTTGTAGAAGTCAGCAGCCTCTTAACCTGATGCATATCAGGATCTTCGCTTTTCGATGTTAAAATTTCGTTGCAAATGTAAATGTTCATTCATATATACGCTTTGAGAACCAAAGTGTGTAAGTATGTACAGAAAGGTTGCAATTCCAGTCCCAAATAGACGCAACTGCTCCAGGCTTCCAGACGATCGCGCGTGTCTCGCACCACTACTATGATCGTTGCGAACGACAATTTACCAAGCGTTAGCGGACCACTGGTTCACGGTGAACGTAGCAGGTCCACCAGTGAAGGCCTCGGTACCAAATTGGTAAGCTACGATGGAGGTTAGCATACGCATTGTCATGGTAGTAGCATTGAGAAACTTACTAATGAGGTTCTGGCTGGAAGCAGGGTAGCCCTTGTTGTTGGTGAGGTATGCGAAGAACTCCTTGAGGTCGGCCTTGAAGTTGTAGATGGGCTGGCCAACAGGGGGCACAAAGCTGTAGACCTTCATGGAACCGTTGGGGCCGTAGAAGAGTTCCCAGGATCGGCCAGCAACAGTGACCATACCCTGCGAGGTACCGATGGGCCAGACGTCGTATCTGGCGAGCCAGA